AATGGGGTAACGTGCTTGAAAATTGAATAAAAAAAAATAAAAAAAAGTTTATTAAAGATCAAAACATAAATAATAATATATATATTAATAAAATTATCTTAATTTTATTTTTTCTTGTTGGGAAAAATTGGAAAAAGGGTTTATATTTTTATATATAGTTTTCGATAGAGTAAGAGAATGTTACCCCTGTCAGCTTCTTTTGCCAATTGTGTCCAGTTGGGGAGATTTCCCTCACTTTCTCAATTCCTGTTGTGGCTATTGGACAGGAATTGAGAAGAAATTCCTCCAAAGTGAGGGAAATCCCTAGTGGTCCACGGGGTCATCCTAAGTTGTACTTTAAGTTGAGTTGTATACACACGGTATAGAGCACAAATGTCTATTGCCCCATTCCAACTTTAGAATTATATATGCTAATTCCAATTAGGATTGTACGACTGCAAACATGTAATTTTTATTCTTTAATATTTAATACATTTATTCATTTTATAATCAATTTTTGAGGGAGTTACCCTATTTTGGTGCTGTAGTCACAGTATTATTTGTTTCGTTTCTTATCCAGGACTACTTTAGCTTCTGTTTTTCACAGCATGACTGACAAAATGTTAAAGCAAGTGAACCCATGTTCTTTATTCTTCATAGAAAGAACTTCTAACTAAAGAGCAGGATATTATTTAAAATTGACAAATTGTTGAAATCATTGACTAGAATTATCACATTCATCTACTTTCCTCAATCGCAGACAATTTAAAGCCTAGTATCTGACGTGACAGATGGCCATGGATATCATACTATGAATGACAGGCAAAAAGACATCTGCATGTCCTGGAACAACTCACACATAGTTGGGATCCGCCATGATCTTCCAGGCTTGGCTAATGGAAGAATGCAGAGCATGTACAGTGAATACACTTTGCTCCCTTTTCTTCACAGAGGAGGGAAGGATTGATGACGGCTTGCACAGAGATTTTCCCAACATGACAGGCGTACTTTGTGCATGGTAAGCACTGATAATGGGTGGAAATGCCAACTACCAAATGTTTGCTTAAGTGCCCCTGACACCGAGCTAAAAAACTGCAGGTAAAAGCACATGAAATGTAAATGCTTACTTGAAGAGTTTTTTCTTTCCTTAAATGAACGGTTTGCGACTTGTAATGTGCCCCTGAACTTACAAGTAAATTTGACTACTTTAGGCAGAATTCCCTAGCACATTCCCCTTCCTCCTTGCACATTATAGCCTGCTCATGTTCTGGGAAAGTCAAATTACTCTCTGTGCTGGCCTAGGTCCTACACACCTCACATCACCTTCGTACATAACCTTTATGTAGCTGCCATGGGTGCAACAAAGAGGAACACTAGATTATCACTTGAGTGACAGCTCTGAGTTTGCTAGGGCTGCTCGCATCATATTAAAGATGGTGGTGCCCAGCAGCAATCTCAGGGCTTTTGGATGTCTACAGTACACTGGCCTAGCTCCTATGCACCTCACCTTCCTATAATAACCTTTTATGTTGCTGCTGGGGTAGGAACAAAGAGGAACACTACAGTATCACTATAGTGTCACGGAGTCTGCGAACATCACATCCAAGATGGTGGTGCCCAGCAGCAGTCCTGGGGCTTCTGGATATCTACACTGGCCAAGCTCTCACTTGAGTGACAGCTCTGAGTTTGCCAGGGCTGCTCACATCACATACAAGATGGTGGTGCCCAGCTGCAATCTCAGGGCTTCTGGATATCTACACTGGCCAAGCTGCTACATACCTCACGCCACTTTCCTAAATAACCTTTTATGTAGCTGCCGGGGAAAGAACAAAGAGGAACACTATAGTGTCACTTGAGTGACAACTCTGAGTTCACTAGGTTGCCGATATCACATCCAAGATGGCAGTACCCAGCAGAAGTCTTTTGGATGTCTGCACAAGGGTATCCTATAATGCAGGAATAGCTCAACTTCGGACCTCCAGCTGAAGGTACATATCCTATCATGCATCTGCCTATAGAAGTCATGCCTGTGCCTGTCAGTTTTTAAATGCCTTATTTGTAGTTTTACCACAGCCCGAGGGTTGAAGTTTGGCTACCCCTGCTATAATGTATAATTACTGGGCTGGTTCCTTAAAGTTTTTGTACCAGGTTGCATTTTCTAATCTGTACTAGACAAGTAACACAACCTGACCTGTGTCTGCTTGCTGTGGGCAACACAGAGCCTTTTATTTCCTCCATCCTGAATAAAACAGCATCATTATTTGTATATTTTCAGACAGTTTGACTTTTCCTTATCCAATATTTGTGTTTGGGTCTAAGCGCACTCCTTTGGCATACTTTAATACAAGTCAGAGTCTAAGCTGACAAGAAAATGATTTTCAGGAAGCTGACACAGTCTTCTGAACCTCATTAACATCTGTATGCACTAATTAAGTCCCAGAAGATTCTGATCTGTACTGCCACATATATAACTCAGCCCCGCGGCTGCATCGGAGGTAATTATAATAGCTAAAAGCAAACTAAAACACAGCTAGGAAAAAAATGTAGTCCTGATTGGAACAGCTGGAAAAGACACTCATGAACACGAGTCGATGAAGACTTTAATCTTCTCCAAACTATATAGATAATGCGGCTATAACTCCGGTATAAAAACAGCAGAGAAAAATAAGGGTTCAATTAAGGCAAACCGATGCAATAATTCAAGTGGACACATTAGGGGGCTCCATCACCCAATGGCTTCTTATGCCTTTTAGTGGCTCCAGTGGCACATTATCCCAGCGCCTCTTCTAACACAGACTCTCAGTCCATCTGCCACAAGTCAAATATCAGCTCTGGTTCATTAACCATAATGTAAAATAAAATGTACTATGGAGACTGAAGATTTACTGCAACAGGTGGGCAGAGCTGGGAATTCCATACATATCACTACTGAAGCCCTTAGCAGATTGAACTGTCTAGTAATAAACTGAATTCCGCCATCAACTCAAATCTAAAAAAAAAATCACTCTTGGAAGAACTGAATATATACACATATACATACACATACACACACCAAATGTACCTATTAAGCAGCCAGCCAGGGGCCAACTTTCATTTTCAAATCAAAACTGAAAAGTAAAATGGAATCCATTTGGTTTCTACAGGGCAGGGGTAGGCAACATCAGCAACCCAGCTGTTGTCCAACTACAAGTCCCATGAGGCATTGCAAGACTCAACAGCCACAGGCAAAACTCCCAGAGGCAGAAGCATGATGGAATTTGTAATTTCACCACAGATTGAGTGCCAAGGTTGCCTATCCCTGCTGTAGGGTCTTAGGATAAAGATAACCATATATTTTTCAATGCATTCCAACTACGATCAGTGGATTATAATGCTCAGGCTCCTTCAAACTATACTCCCAGACCCAAGTTCATATAGATATACCAACCCCTAGTTATGGAGCTGGAGGAAGCAACCAATGGACTAAAAGTGTAGTGAAATTACTGCACCTGTGTACCATTGCAATCTACAAATCCCTTTGCCATAGTGGCAGACGGACTTGTATTCTCACCATTTACAGATCCTGTATGGAATGGATGATGCGGCTGTGCAGGCAGAGCATGCACACCTCATCAAACTCAAATGTAAACCTAACACAGCAAAAGTAAACCGAACCCCGCAATTCAAGTAGGGTGGGGGGGCGGTTGGCTGTGGAATGTGTGACCATGTTTCATGGTACACCCTGAATTTGAGTCCAACATGAAACATGGCCAAAACGTGACATTAGCCTTTAAGCCTGATCATTAATTTGATTGGATCAATGCACAGACACAAATTGTCAATCAAAAACAGTTGGAGCTGTCCATATAGAAAGATATTTTCTGTCCATGCATGTACATCTTTGGAATATAAAAGGTGCCCATACACCTTACTATTATCGGACAAAACTTTTCGTACGATCGAATAGTCGTACGATTTTCGTACGGCAGCCCCATCCTGCCCCGATGATCGCAAGATTAATTTAGCCGTAATTAACCCTAAAAAATTGTTAGCGCAAGCACAGTGTAGATCGTACGACTTTTGACGTACGGAAACGCCAGCAACCTTACGAAAATCGTACGATCTAGCAAAAGTTTTCAAACATGCTTGACCGTCAAAAGTCGTACGATTGTACAGTACGGTCGGTCAGACACTGCAATGCACACATACGATTATCAGCCGAAAAGTCGATCGCATACCAAAATCGTTCGATAATCGTAAGGTGTATGGGCACCTTTAGAACATAAGTTTGAGAATGGCTCAAGTCCTCCATATTGTGCTGATTTTCAGGCAGTTCAATATACCACCAATAACAAGACATGGAGGTACTGTATAACTAACTGGCCACCTGACATGTCTCAAATATGACCTGTCCTTATTTTTTATTTTTAAGGGCCATTAGACATGAGGATCCTGAAGGTTATACCACAGCCGGAGAGGTGAGCAATCATTGCCGCAGGACCGAGGATCAGGTGATATATCTGCTTTATTTTTTGCTCCTAGACCAAAACAAGCACTTAACCCTTGCAGTGCGAGGGGGTAGCCCCAATGCAAAGCATAATATGAAAAAAACGGAGTTTTTCTTTAATGACTTTTAATAAATATGGCTCGGAGATATGAATTCTCTTTGGAGAATTGTCTAAGTTTTTGATACTCTACATTTTGCAAAACTATGAAAAAAAATTATTGGTATATAAAATACGAAAAAACATTTCAGCAACATGTAAGTCTGAAAGGGGAGTACAGGCCTCGGGCCACCTGCTGAGCAATGCTATGCTGTTTACATAAACACATTCTGCGAATAAAATCTGTGTGCGTAAATAATACATTTATGTATTTGCACATAAAAAGATAATTTTTATACACCGAATAAAAAAATTCTGAATGCAGGGGCTGTAATTGCTACCAGCGAGGCCCAATTGCAGCCTATTTTTCTAAACCCAATCAACAAATACCAGCAATTATCCGCCGATTGCTCACCAAGCATTAAAAATGTATATTACCGTGTGCAGATCTGTTGATAGTTTCTCAATGGACGGCTTGAGGCTTTCAACAGCTTTCAGGCCATCTTGAAAAAAGCTAGAAAGGAAAAGAGAGAGCGGTTAGGTGAGCTCAGAATCAGCACTGCTGACAGTATCTGGAAAACATCAATGTAAATTATGGAGCGAGCGATATTAAACAATAACATAATTTATCCTGAAAGCAATTTGAGAGCTGTGCCTTTGCAGTTCATGTGCGAATACCATTACAGCATGCTGAATGTCAGCCTCTCATTAAAAGGGGCTATTTGTAAAAAGGATTTCAACGAAAACCCACTTCATTCATTTATATAAAATCAAAATATTTACAGTGTTAAAAAAGAATCAGTAATACCAAACTAAAAGCACTCTCTAACAAGAGGCACCACAAACTGTTTGGTGTGAACTCTAACAAGAGACCCGTCCCACCCTACCCCCCCTCCAAAACACACTACTGGGAAGTCTTGAGTTTCATTTCCTTGTTATATATTTTCCTTTTCAGAGAAGTGCTCAAAGCCTCTGTGCTCACAGAGGTTCCTTAGACGCATAAACTGAAGAAGCCTGAGCACTTGGCTGGAGAGATTCTTTGGGGCAGCAGTTTTTTGCTCACACGTAAAAAAAAAAAGCAAACAAAACAAAAAAAAGTGTTATTCTGTAGATCTGGAACC